GAGGATGCTCACACAGTGAGGATGCCCACACAGTGAGGATGCCCACACAGCGAGGATGCCCACATAGAGAGGACGCTCACACAGTGAGGATGCCCACACAGCAAGGATGCCCACATAGAGAGGATGCTCACACAGTGAGGATGCCCACACAGCAAGGATGCCCACACAGCAAGGATGCCCACATAGAGAGGATGCTCATACAGTGAGGATGCCCACACAGCAAGGATGCCCACATAGAGAGGATGCCCACATAGAGAGGATGCTCACACAGTGAGGATGCCCACATAGAGAGGATGCTCACACAGTGAAGATGCCCACACAGCAAAGATGCCCACATAGAGAGGATGCCCACACAGCAAGGATGCCCACATAGAGAGGATGCTCACACAGTGAGGATGCCCACACAGCAAAGATGCCCACATAGAGAGGATGCCCACACAGCAAGGATGCCCACATAGAGAGGATGCTCACACAGTAAGGATGCCCACACAGTAAGGATGCCCACACAGCAAAGATGTTCACACCAATGAAAGTAACTGGGGCTTGCAAATACCTTTCACCTGAGGTGGCCTCACCAGATTTACAGAGCCCCTCTCAGAATGTTCCTCTGTCTGAGGTGTTTAGTTATAGATGTTTCCCCTCGTCTGCCAGCCCTTACCTCCAGCACTGGCATCTTTGAGTCTCTCAAAGGCTGTGAGTTCAGTGAGGGCCACCTGCTACCAAGTCAGTGTCTGTGAGAAGGTGAAGGGAACAGAAATGGAACCAGCTGGATTCAGGGCCTGGAGCCCAACCGAGTCTGGCACCACAGGCATCCACATACAAAGCCACAGTGATTCTGCTGTGGGACTTACAGAACACATGCCCAAGGTACTGCCAGTTTAGAACCAAATTGTTCTTTATAAGTGACATTTACAAGTTGCTGTGACATTCTGAAGCCTTTGCAGAGCTCTGTGGGCCCCATGCCCCGCACCCTTGCTGACCCATCCATGCAGGACAGGGCCCGTGCCAAGCACGCTGAGTCGCCACGAGCCCACCAAGGCAGGTGAAAGGTGGGCCCGGGCAGAACCATCTTACACAAAGAAGAGAACATGGCTTTTCTGTTGCCCCATCTCTGCCCACCCTTTAGGACTGAGACTCACAGGCCGTGGAGGTCCTACCCTCTGATGGTCTGGCAAGCACAGAAGTGAGAGCCTGTGATGTGCCGTGCCCCGTGATGAGGGTCATGGATGAGGCCTTGCCCTGATCTAAGGGTGGCAAATAATATCTTCCACATATTATCCATCCTCCGCCTCCCATGGAGGTGGGGCAGGCTTCGGTTTCCCTTATAAGCCCAAGAGTGGAGCCCACACCTTCTGCCAGACTGGGGTCCCACCAAGCCCCAATCTAAATAAAGAGGCTGAGGTCTCCCCTAGTCCCTGCGATCTTTGATAGGGAGTCTGAACCCCAGATGTTCAAGCTAGCAAATGGAATCAGCTGCTGAGAGACAGGGTGTGGAGCCACAGAATGGCCACAGTAAGGGTGTGCCCCTCACATGGGGCTCAAGAGGCTCTAGTATTGGGATGCAGCAGCAGCCTGGACCTTTTCTTTCTGGGGGTACACAGGGTACTGGGCACTGCAAACCCCAGACCTGACAGGTGGGTCTGGCTTTCAGGATCTCCACTGGCTACCTGCTCAGCCGCCTGCTTGGTGCATTGGGCTCCTTCCCTGGCCACCGCCTGGACAGCCTCTCCATCCTCGACCGGGTGAACCTAGAGAGCTGGCGAGGTGGCAGCCAGAGCCCTGGCCTAACTTTTGACCACCTGAAGGTATGCACGGTAGCTCACCACCCGCCTCGCTCTGTTGCTCGCTTTTGTGACTAGATGACAGAGGGCAGTGACCCCCGACGTGTGTCCCTCACACCAGCCCCCGTGATTAGCAGTCACAGGTATTGAGAGGATTCCGGTTCACCTGAGGAAGAAATCACAGCTCTGACGTCTCATAGGCTGTAGCACATCAGGCTGGCCTTGGCCATTTCTAGACAGGTGACGTGGGAGGCCCTGCAGTCCAGGAACATGATTGGGCTGGGCCACGTAAGGCTGAACCTCTCTCCAACATGAGTCCTTCCTGGCTATGAACAATCCTGGCCAGATTCCCTTATAGACTGGGGTCAGCTGGGTACCCATGGAGCACTGGCTCCCTTCCCATGCTCCCTGGGGCAGGATGCTCAGTCACCTCACATCTGCATCCTGCTATGGCTGATGTAACAGTCCAGTGCTGAGAAGAACAAAGAAAGTTCTTGTAACCCCGAACCCCAGGGCAGTGAGGGGAAAGTAGGCAGGGCTGTGAAATCTTGGGATCCTCCTGGAGTGTGCATTCTTGATTCAGAGGACCCTCTGCTCGGTCCAGGTGTTAAGAGTCAGGTGAGTTGATGTGTCATTGACACTGGCTCTGGGGAGACTCCCCTGTGTGGACTTCGGTCATTCACTGCCAACTCAGACCTCTGCCTGAGTTGGAAATACAGTTTCCAGTGGTCACTGGGGTCTGATACGCAGAGGATCCTAGATGAACTGAGAGGTGGTGGAGGAGGAAGAGGGTCTGAGGGCACAGACATGCAGTTGGGTGATGGTGGCTGATTATCTAGTAAGGGCCTTGGAGCAGAAAAGAGGAGGAGGATTTCTAATGCCCTGGGGTGGGCCCTTCGGGTTGCTCTACAGAGACTGAGCTCAATGGAGGGGCATGAAGAAAGCCTCAGGGATGAAGGAAACCTCAGATAACCCTGAGGGAGTTCTGAAGTCTGGACCGGGGTTCAGCAGCAGGTAGAAGGAGAGGCCCAGAGGAGAGGGAGGGGCAGAGAAGGTGATGGGAGCCTCAGGAGCTGCTAGGGTGGCAGATATAGGAGGGACTCTGCACCCGGAGGCGTTGGGGAGGCTTGGTGAACGTAAGCTGGTGCAGGGCTGGCGGACAGGCAGGTGGTGGTGGGGAAGCGGTCCAGCCGCCCCCTGACTTGGCGTCTGACTTGGCGTTCTGCAGACGGTGCTGCTATGGGCCTCGGTGCTCTTCCCAGCACCCGAGGACTGGGAGGACCTGGAGGGCGCGGTCTACCGCTTGCTGGTAGTGCTGCTCTGCTGCCTGGCTACCAGGAACCTGCCCCACGTCCTGTACCCGGAGCGCAACTTGCTGCAGGACAGTGGCCTGGACCTCGGCGTCATCTACCAACGCGTGGAACACTTCGCCAGCCAGCCCGAAGAGTCCCTGCGGATCCACGTCACCCACCTGGGCCACAGCCGTCCACCACGCATTGACAACGGAGTCAAGGCACTCCTGCAGCTGCCTGCCAGCGACCCTACCTACTGGACCACAGCCTACTTTGATTTTCTGCTAGATAAGGTGGGTGCAGCTGTTTCGGGAGGGCGTGGCTGGAGCACTGATCCCGAACCCTGACCACTCCCTCCCAGGTCAGGAACTCAAGGATGGCTGGGGTTAAAGCCAGACCTCTGGACGGCTGCGAGTCAGATGGGACATGGAATGCCACGTCAAGAGAGGCCCCACGAATGTAAGAGTGCTGTCTGGAAGCCAGGGCAGAGTGCCTGAGATTGCCCCTGTGTCCCACAGAATTATCCTAAACCACACAGAGCGAATGCCAAGAACCCTTCTCTACCTTGGGGCTTTGGCCTTCCCTGGATCTCCTGGGCCTCATTTTCTGTGTCTTTGTGGACTTGGCATTCTGATGATCACACCCTGTGGGACCTTGTGTTCGCTGGCCTGCTGTTTAGAGGCGCCTACCAGCTGCCCCCCTACACCTGTAGAGCCTATTGCCTCCCTGCAAAGGCAGGAACTCATCCACGCGGGCCCAGACACTGCCTCCAAGGCATGGCTGACATTTCTTGGTTAGGGATGTGCAGGGAAAGAGCCTTCAACCCGCATTAGTGGGGCCTCCTTGGGGGTCATTCCTGTGTCAGGGATACGTTGTGTGAGGCGGGGCTGCTGGAGGAGGAATGATGGTCCACCTGCCGGGATGACAGACAGGTGGATGCTCACAGACAGGGTGGTCAGCGAGGATGTGTGAGACAGGTGTGGCCTGGCTGCCTGTGACCTCTGTCCCTGCCCACTCCAGTTCCAGGTCTTTAACATCCAGGATAAGGACAGAATCTCAGCCATGCAGAACATCTTCCAGAAGACCAAGACCATGGGAAATGACAGCAGCTGAGCTGGGGTGGAAGGCCCAGTCTCGACCAATCTGCAGAGCTCCCTGGAACTTCTGGGAAAGGAATGGGGATCAGGGATATCTCTTTGAGTGACTGGTGGAGGGACTTCGTCCCCAAGGACTCCTGTTCAAGAGACGCCTGTGAGAGTCTAAGGACCTAGCACTGTGGTCTTGAGCCAGCTGCCATGTTCCACACTGGGATTGAGGTGGACGGTTATATGCCTCCCAGAGACCCGTTGATCCATCCATTTGACAGTCAGAACAGGTATAGGCGTGAGACAGCATGGGCGTTTGCTCTGCCCATGCTCCACACTACTCCTGGAGGTTGAAATCCTGTGTGTGCAGTGCTGAGCACATGAATGCCCCAGTGCACCCCGTGGAGAGGGTTCCCCCAGTTTCTGTGTCTCTCGGTGCAAATATAGACTCCCAAGACTATGAAAGGCATGCTTTCTTTTCAAATCTTCTCTACTCTTAGGTAGAGAATGTTCCCCTGGACAGATGTCCTTACTCTCCAGTTCAGAAGAAACCGAAACCAGAAGAGGGAAGTCCACAGCTCCCCTTGTCCCATACCGGTCTGTCCCACTTCTCTGCCACTGGAGGAGTGTCCCCTGTTCCCAGAATCCTGTGATTCATGTCTTCTAATTAGCTTGAAGCAGCTTCCCTGGAGCCCAGGGACCTCTGAGTACCCCAGCTCAGAGACATCTCTCCTCCATTGGTTTGGCATTTGGTGATGTTTACTCCTTGGCTTCAGAACTGCAGGCTGCACTCCAGCCCCTGAGGGGGGACCCCAGGGCCCCATGTGTGTGCAGGTGATCCAGTGTCCCTGTGTCCTTCAAGGACTGGCAGCAGGTGTCAGAGTAACTATACACTGAGCAAGTGGCCAGGGCCTCCGAAGGCTGTGAGACCAGAGCCTGAGTTATCATCAACACAAGGGAAATGCCATGTTGTCTCAAGAGTGGGACTGAGCTAGACCCAGGCCCACCGTGGTCACCTCCTCGGTGATGGCTATAAATCACAATGGCTGCTCTTAACAGAAATGAGAGCTGTGAACACAGGAAAGACCAAGAGGACATGAAATTTTTTTAGATAGGATCTTACTATGTAGCCCTCGCTTGCTTGGAACTCTCTATATAGACCAGGCTATCCTCAGACTCTTAGAGAGGTCTGTCTCTGTCTCCTGAGTGCAGGAATTAAAGGTGTGCACCACCACACCCAGCTAAAATGTTTTAGAATTATATTGTATATATTTATTTTGCTTGTACCAATGTGTGTGTGTGTGTGTGTGTGTGTGTGTGTGTGTGTGTGTGTGTGTGTGTGCCACTGCTCATGTGTGGAGTGCAGAGAATAACGTGTAGGAGTTGGTTCTTTCCTTTGCAGTCCAGGGATTGAACTCAGGACCTTTACCCACTCAGTCACTTCATCAATCCTCAAGGGAATATTTTGAAATCATCCCTAGTCCACTGCCCTTTAAATAGTCTACCCAGACACACCACATGAGGGTGCAGGAGCAGAATGTAGCACTCCTTAAAGTGTGCCACAACACCCCCAGTAAGAACCAATTGGGGTTCAGAAACTTTGCCAAATGGTGATTTGTCACCAAGATGCTGTGTTAAACATGTGATCTATGGTAGCATGGGATGACTGGGCTTCTGGAGCTTCCTCTGTAGGCCCCAATACAGGAGTCACATCCTCTCTGGTCCCGTGAGAAGGGGGAACTAGAAGGGGCGTGTCTACTTGGAAGTGCTGGATCTGGCCAACGCTAACCCTCCTGCTCTGGCCATGAGACGGGCCTTGGGAGACATGCTGCAAAATGGTTCTGTGCTGATGACACCATGCAGATCAGGGCCAGGAAGGCTCACTGGCAAGTTCTTCAGTGCCTTCCACACCTGTCCTGTGCAACTTTTGACATTTCAACACGACATTGAGGTTGAGGTCTACAAATGAACTAACTGGGTTGCATTCCTAGCTATTCTGGGACACATGTGGTCGGCAGGCCAGACTGGACCTACCTGCAGGTTTATAAAATGCACTCATTCCATAATTCAAATAACAATTCATAATTCAAACAGGGAGAATCCTTGTATCATCTCAAGGTCTACCACACAGGCTCAGAGGCTCAGCGTAGGCTGGGACTTTGTCCCATCTGCCTTGGTGCTTGGGGACCTCTCTGGATCTTGAAGACCATGTATGGCTCAGCTAGAAATGTCCATCAACCAAGTGACTGGGATAATTATCACTTCGGAGTGGGACCAGCACACAAGCAGCTTCCACAACCAATCTGTGTTGTATGACCACAGTGTCAGTGACATTATGGGGATCCCTGCAAGCCCCAGCATAGGAGCTGAGGCCCTAAAGCAAGAGAGCCACAGGCCCCCCTGTGTGTTGGCAGGGGTGGAGGTGACGGTAGCCCAGCATGGGTCTGGGGGCAATGATGCAGTCTATCTGGGCCAGCCAAACAGGGCAAGGGACAGAGAAGTTACAAGAACAGTGACCTTCCTGTTATCACACCTGGTGACCGGGCTTCCCCCTCACCTCAGGCTGACCTTGGTGACTTCTCTGGGGACTTAAGAGTCCTGGAAGGCAGCAGGGAGGAATAGTCCTCCCAGACACAGAGCTTCAAGAAGCAGAATTATTCCTTAATTGCAGAGACAAGAGGCCCCTGGGAAGCACACAGATGTAAGACGGGAAACGGCAGAGGTGGAGGCAGCTGCAAATGACGTACACAGTGAGTTCCAAGCCCAGAAGTTCTGAGGTTGAACCGTCTCCACAACCCACGAGGACCCATGAGGACACGTGGGCAGTTGGAGATTTGAACACCCCACCCTCAGTACCTGATGGAAAAAAAATCAGCCAGTGCCTACTGTCATCAGCCAGCCTGAATGCTGTCTGGAGAAGTCCACTATGCTCAACAAGATCAGGTTTTAGTGCATTTACAAAGAGCTAAAATCCATATGCAATATGCTTTCGGACCTCAACAGACACAGATTAAAAATAAAAACCAAGAGGATATTTCCAAGTATATGGAAATTATATAACACACATAAAAATAATTTATGGTTCCAAGAATAAGTCCCAGGAAAAAAGTCATAAAATATTTTGACTTGGGTGGTAATGAAACAGGCCCATCAAAGTTTGGAGACGAAGCCGACACCGTGCTCAGAGAGAAAACTTTAGTTTGAAACACCTGGGAGAGAAGCTGTGTTTCAAAATCAACTTCTTAGGCTTCCAATGTAGAAAGCAGGAAACCAAGAGCAGCCCACAAAGGTATGGACAAAAATTGCTTGTCAATCAAGAATTTGTCAAAAATTTCAAAGAAGGGCCAGTGAGATGGCTCAGCAGGTAAGAATGTATGCTGCCAAACATGACAATTCGAGTTCAAGTCCCAGGATCTGTATGGTAGAGGAGACCTCCTGTCAGTTGTCCTCTGGCCTTTACATTGTGGAATATGTACACACACACACACACACACACACACACACACACACACACACACACACACACAGAGGGAGAGAGAGAGAGAAAGACAGAGACAGAGACAGAGACAGACAGAGACAGAACAAATGAGAATGTAAAAAGAATTAAAATGAGTAAGTTAGAACCGAAAGCAGTCAAATGAGGAGGGTAACAGAGTAGAAATCAGTAGAGGACAGACCATAGAGAAAAGCAACTCAAGCGAACACTGGTGTTTCGGGAGACCGACAGAAGCAATATTTTCTAGCAAGGTTAATGAACAGAAAAAAGGGAGAAAATATAAGTCACCAAGCTAGAGGATGATGAAAGAAAAGTCACCACAAATTCCACAGACACAATGAGTCTGTAAAGGGACACTGTGAGCTTCCTCACCTAGGACATTTAATAACCGAGATGAAAAGCCAGCATGCCGTGAATAGCACAGTTATTAAAACTGGTGCCAGAAGAAGATAACATCTAAAGAGCCCCATATCTAGTCAGCTCTCAGGAAGCCCAGGCAAGAAGACTGTGAATTTGAGGTCAACTTGAGCTCCATAAGGAGACCCTGTCTCAAATGGAAGGAAAAAAGAAGGAAAGAAGGGAGGGAGGGAAGGAGGGAGGGATGGACAGATGGACAGAAGGACTCATGTGTGTGGAATTTTTTTTTAATTTTTCCATAATCCCTAAGTCCTGGGTTGTTGAATTCTACCAAAAACATAAGGGAAAGAAAGTATGTCTAGTTGTAGAAAAGCTTTATCAGAAAATAAAGGAGGAGAAAATGATGTTTAAATCATAACCTTAATACCTAAGAAGGACTGCAGAGCAGCAAAGGATGGAGGTGCTGTGAGCGCCGTGCTGACAACACACTCGGCCAACTGAGGTAGACAGCAGCTACAGGAAACCCGCTACTGATGCCATTCACAAGCTGAACATGCATGCGCGCGCACACATATATACACACACACACCACAAATAAATAAAAATTCAAATATTAAACACTTTCTCTAAGACTGAAGCTCTAACCATTTTTTTTTTACATTGGGTTTATGGCCCTCAGCAAGGTGAGAAAGAGAGCCAATGAAAAGTATACATATTTGGAAAGATGTATAACTGTCATCATTCATGGGCAACTTGATTATCTACTTAGAAAATCCAAAGAAATCTATAAAGACGTCATTAGAAGTGTGAGCCTAGCAAAGTCCATAAATGCAAGACTAATATTAAAAAACCATATTAAGAAGAAACAATTGGAAGTGAAAAAATAAATAGCATTTATAATATCAGCAAAATAGAAACCCCTTAGGATAAATCTAATGAAAGACATGCAAGACCTCTGCAGTGAAAATTTGAAACATTGCTTAGTGAAATTTAAAGTCATCTAAATTAATGCTCGTGAATTCAAGTTTATCGTATTTCTAGGATTCCTACTGTCCTTAACGTGAGAGTTGGTAAATTCCAGTCAAAATCCAAATCCTAGGAGGCTATTCTGTATAAACAGACATAATTCATGTAGAAATTCAAAGGTTTTAGAATAAGAAAAGTATGTGTGTGTGTGTGTGTGTGTGTGTGTGTGTGACAGAGAGAGAGAGAGAGAGAGAGAGAGAGAGAGAGAGAGAGAGAGAGAGAGAGCGCTTCATATTCAGACTCACTGGTGACTGCACATTCTGAGATAAGGAGATCGACCTAGGACCAAAAAGGTGGCCAGAGTAGAACAGATGCCAGAAACCAATCCACAAATACGTAGTCCATGATCCTTGCCAACTTGGCAGGTCAACTGAATGGAGAAAGCAAGGTTTGTTTAACAAGCGTACTGTTGGGACAACTTAACAAAAGATAGAATGCACTTTGCCCCATGTCCACACCACAAAACAAACGATAAACCTACGTTATAACTCCAAAAGAAAATACAGGAATATCCACAACAGCCCCAAAGTGGGAAAGACTTCTGGGGCAAGGTGCAAATAGCCCAGACCACAGAGAGAAAACCTATACGACTTTGCCGAAATTAAACACACCTGCTCTTTGGAGCTATCAGCAGGAAAATGAATAGGTGAGCCACAGAAGAAGGAAACCCTTGAGACACAAACATCTGGTTGGGTTGAGAATTCATTTTCTAAAAAGAAAATCTATGATGGTGCTGGCAAAGTGGCTGCGTGGGTAGAGTGCTCACCAAGCAAGCACAGGGACCCAAGTTTGGATCTCCAGC